TCCCTCCTGAAGCCGGGGCAGCCTTTACAACCCCAAGAGCTCAGCTTCATCGTATCCCTGCTGCAGATGAAGTTCTAGAGCTTGGATTTGCCCTCACTGCACCTTTGAAAAATGGGCTGAAGGTCTACTTAAGGAGCAGCTCTCGATAGCGCTTAGCAGTGCTTCGCTCTTTCTCTTCAACGCGTGTAAAGATGTTCTACGTGAAGCTCCCACTAGTGTCGAAAAAATTGGATGCAGTTACGCCGCAGTGAGCTTTAGTGTTAACTGAGCTTTAGTATTAACTGAGCTTTAGTGTTAACTGAGCTTTACTAATTGTGGAGGGCCCTGTGTTGGAGAAGGTGTGAAGATATCCACTCTAGCCTTAACGAAAAAGGTTTAAAGTTAAGGTACGTTAAGGTGTTGGGCTGTCAGGAGGAACAGAGTGTGCCCAGGTCTCCTGGTTCAACTGATGGACACCAACTTAGGTCGTACAGGTAAAAATCCTGTGATTGTGTGGATTAAACTGTCAATGTGCATGAGCTGAAGTTAAGATTAATGACTTGTTGTGCTTTGATATCGTTCTGGTTATGGACATTAAGGAGCCAGCTTATTGAATCTTACTTAGAGGTAGAGCTATATCTTGAAAGCAAGGAAGCCAACATATATTTTCCTTACAGATGCTGAATTCTGATGTGGCAGTAACGCTTGCTCCCCTGAAAATCGTGATGGTTGTTGTGACTTTTTATTAAGAGGGTGCTTTTTAATTTTTTCTTACAGGCGACGATTGGCATTGACTTCTTATCGAAAACCATGTATTTGGAGGATCGAACAGTGAGTAAGATTTTTGTTGCGCTTCTCTGTGCGCGGTGGGAATTGAGGATCAGCATCTGTCGTAACTGTGCAGCCCGTGGTTCTGAGATCCCTTGGAAGCACAGGCTGAGCCTTCATCTACCAGCTGCTTCCAGAGTGTTCTCTGCAGGCACTTCCCTTCTCTCGTTGGGAAAATGGGAAATCGCTGTTCGGTTCCTCTGTGGAGGGCTCAGGAGTTGCCATTTTACAAGCGGCAGAAGATGCTAGGGCATCATCCTCTTGGAAGAAAGAGATGATTATGGGTAGTTAGAGGGGTGCACAGTGGTGGGAATTTGGAGAAGAGGACTGTGCTTAACCCCTTAGGTTTTGGATGTCACAAGAGAGAAAGATAAAACACAGCTTGCCAAATGTTGCTAGTTAATAGCTGGCTTGATACTCTGAATATTGCAAGGTTGCCTTCGGTAGTAATCCACAGATGCTACTTGTTTCTTAGCTCGGTGCAGCTCTAGTTCCCGAAATGAAATCGCTCCTCTGTGGCAGCACGCCTGTGGTTTCAAATGAGCTCAGATTCTTAATTAAGAAATTCAACCGTTGAGCTATTTGCAGAAGCAAATTGTGCAGTGCTGCGTAAGCCCGTGGCGTTGTGTAAACCCCCAGTAACGGTGATCGCATTGGAAGCGCTCGAGCGATGAGATGTTCGTTCCGTAGCCGAAGCGGCCCTTGCGCATCTCGCCAGACGCGTTGCTTTTAGTCTGTCTTGCCTTTTCTTTCAGAACCTCCGTGATAAGAGACGCTCGACCTCGTCTGTGTTCCGTTGCAGTGTGGCTAAGGCTTAAATACGGAGCAATAACTAGCGTTCTCTCCTCTTTGAAAAACTCCCCTTAGTAGCTTTCCCAGCGCTTTGACAGCAGCTTGTCCTTGTGAAGGCGCGAGGCCGGGTTCCTCCAGGCTGCTGGAGGGTTCTGGGTGCAAGCCCCGAGGGAAGGATAGCAGCAGAGCGTGAAAAACTTGCCGTAGGTAGAACCGCAGGTGAACATTTGCCTTAGTTTTCTTGTTAGTCCCCTCAGCTTGAAGGCTGAGCAATTTTAATTCTCCCCTTTTGGAAGGGAAGGTGTGTTTTTTAAAAAAAAAGCCGAGCTAGGCACACGTATACCGGTTTGGCTGCTGCTGGTGCTTGGGAGAGATCACTGCGAAGGAGACGCTGTGCTGCTGCTCCCAGTCGCCAGTCGTCTCCTGCATGAGTTTCTGATTTTTTTTTTATTTTTTTTCAAACAATTTATTTACTCTCTTATTTTTAGTGGCAGTTTGGCTTTTTTAATTTTCTCCCGCCCACAGATCAGGTTGCAGCTGTGGGATACTGCGGGTCAGGAACGTTTCCGTAGCCTCATTCCCAGTTACATCCGTGACTCTGCTGCTGCTGTAGTAGTTTACGATATCACAAGTAGGTATATTTGCGCTGGGTTTGACCTCTTTTCTTATTTTTCTTGCTTGTTTGACTGATTTTGTTAGGTACGATTGCAATTGTGGGACACAGCAGGTCAAGAACGGTTCAGGAGCTTGATTCCTAGCTACATTCGTGACTCCACTGTTGCAGTTGTTGTTTATGATATCACAAGTGAGTGGGGGGAATTCTGCATTTCTAATACTCTGCCCCTTTCATCCTTTAGCCTAGCTTTGCATGTCCTGTCACAGTCATCTTGCTTGTTCTTCATTCTGGCATGGAAAAAATAAAATTGTGTTCTTCTACTGTAGTCAAGTTCGAAGCTGGCCATCTGATCGCTGCTGTTGTGATGTACAAACTGTCTTAAAGTGACATCGTTTTGTAACCCTTTCCTCTTGCATTCTCCTGAAGCCTTGAGTCCTGGCTGGTCTTGTTGCACTTTACCCTCTTTCATCTGCTTTTTTAAAATTTTTTTTTCTTTTTGTTTGGAATATCACCTGTGACTTTTGGTCTCAAACACCTGAATCATGTTCGTAGGTGTCCGAATTCTTCAGTTAAGAGACTGTGCACTGGTAGCTGTAGCTTGCCTGATTCCATTTACCCTCCATCCCGCCCTCACCCCCCCAAAAAATATAAAAATCTGAGCATGGTCTGGGGGGAAAGTGCATTAACATCACATTTTCATCTGAATCCGTCACTTTCACATTTTTGCAATATGTAAAACTCACCACTGAGCCCTTATCCTTTAACAATTGCTCTTTCATTTCTTACTAAGGTATGTACATTTTTTGTGAACTAAAATGTTAGCGCTTCTCCAACCCTTCTCCTTCTGTCCCTCCCCTCGGTCCAGAGACCCCTGACTTACTAGCTTTCTGCATTTACTAAGCACAGAAATTTTGGGTTAGGAGGACTAAACTTTGAGCTGCTTTCAGTTCTAAACCAGAAGTGACTGAGAGCAATCTCCTAATTCGATACAAATGCAAGAGTGCTCGTCCTTTGATTTATAAATACTGGAAGATAAGAGGAGGAATACAGGCTTTACCTAGAAAAGCTTTGATTGTTCAAAATCGCTAAAATTACAGGTTAGCTGTGAACTTCGAATTTGATTTTTTTAACTGACTTAGCAAATTCAATATTGCCAAGCGGTAAAGAGAATTAAGACACTGGCAGGTGATCAAGTCTTGACTGCCCAGCGTACGATTTATTACTATGCAGTAGAAGCCGTTAAAAAAAATCAATACATGTCAAGAAACGCTGCAGAGTCCCGTCCCTCCCCTTTTTTTAAGTGCTGAAAACTACTTTGGCGACTCAGATGTTCTTTGTGTGACGGACTGGCAAACACAGAGCTCCAGTGGCTTCTGTAAAACTCGTTTTTCCTTAGGGGATGCAATCCTTTAAACAACATCCTGTCTCGTTAGATCAGGATGGCTTCCTGAAATTCTCACCTTGCAGCTTTTGAGAACGTACTATTAAGAAAAAAGGTCTAGGACTAGGTTAAATTTATATTTTGGGTTCTGTGCTAACGATTAGGAGTTACTAGTGCATCAGAAAAGCCCTGAACCTGTCAAGGAAAACCCGATGAAGCTGTACAAAGCGTGTGGCTGGGATTAAGTACTTTTAAGAAGCACCGAAGCTCTAGGAACGTCTCGCTGTAATTGTGCGAGTCGTGATATCGCATGAACCCCCGTTGGCTGTGTTCAATATTTTATGCCATCCCCAAAACCAATATAATAAAAGGGGGAAACAGGTCTAAAGCACAGTGATAAGACTTCTCATTTTAGACACTGTCAGCACCCAGTTACGGACCAACTCGGTTCACTCCCTGGCTTCGACTTGGCCTGTAACGAAGCGTTAGTCCACTTTAATGCCAAAAAAATTTTCATCTGCTTCACTGTGGGAGGCTCAGGGTTCCACTCGCTGATTCTTCATCACCCTGTTATGCCGATTGCAGAGAATACGAAGCTTTTATTTGAGATTTGCAGCTGTATTTGCCAGCGATCCCTGAAGAATACCTGCGGTGATAATGCTCTCCGCTGTTCTCTGTTAGATGTAAACTCGTTCCAGCAAACAACGAAATGGATCGATGATGTCAGAACGGAAAGGGGCAGCGATGTCATCATTATGCTGGTGGGAAATAAAACAGACCTAGCAGATAAGAGGTACGGAGGAAAAACTTACCTTTCTTAATCTGCTCCTGTTTTCTCCTAAACAACTGTTTTAAAGTCAACACTTGATTTTGTTTGGAGTTTTTTTTTATTTGGTTGGTTATTTTGTGGTTTGTTTTTTATTTTCCAAAATGCTCAAGCTTGTCTTTATGCTGTGACTAGAGAAATCTCCATTTCTTTCGTTTGTCGAAGCAGAAATTTCCAGCGCGCTGCTGTGAATGAGTTGAGAAATTGTCACCAATTTGTTCAGATGTCAGGAGAGAACGGAGTGTTAACTGCAACCTCCTATCAGTGAACGAATAAGCTGCACATGAATATTTGCCATTATTTAATAGGGTTGTTCAGATAAAAAAAGAGAGGTGCAAGCAATCCTCCCTTTTAAGACCCTTCAGAGATTTTCCTAAATTGGCAAACTTAGATATTTTTATTAGAAGTTCTGCGTCTCCAGCTTCTGCTGCATTGTGCTCTCTGTTTATATTTTTAACAAAGGTAAAAGTCACAGAAGTAAAACAAAAACGTGAGAGGGAAGTGCTCTGGGTTTGCTCGAAATCCCTGTTTCCTCAGAACAGCTTCACTTGCGACCCTTAATTCAGATTTATAACTTTGTGTTAAGAATTGCTTACACATACGTACACATGCCCCTCAGATACCTCATGATTTTTGTTTGGCATCTCTCGAACCCAAATTTTCTCCGGGTTTGACGTGTAGCAGAGTGCTTCAAGTCTGGGATACCGAGCCAGGGGAAAAAAAAGGGGCAAAATTCATGGTTAAACTCGCTCCTTTGTTAAACGAGTTTTGTAGGCTGTGATTATTATCAGGTATTAAAACCTATCGATTGCTAATTGTTCAGACATAAAAGCGGCACTTTTTTATTACATAGCATTTTTATTAAACGCTTTCAGAACTGTGATGAAGCAGCCATCTCCTTGGCTTGAAGACAAAAATCTAAATTTTCAAAGTGTCTATTTTGGTTTTTTGGGGTTTTTTTTATCCCTAATTCTGTGTTTTCTTCCCCAGACAAGTGTCCATTGAGGAAGGAGAAAGAAAAGCCAAAGAGCTGAATGTAATGTTCATTGAAACTAGCGCAAAAGCAGGATACAATGTAAAACAGGTGAGTGACCTGGTGGCCACAACCAGCCCTAAGACTACTTCTGTTAAAGCACTGGCGTGGGAGCAGGACTTCCCTGGACATTGGGAAACTTCTGCAGTGGGTGGCAGAGGGACATTTGTTGTCCACACACAGCAACCAGCATCTCCGAGTTGAATTTGTTGGCCGAGGTTCAGAAGGACCCTTGACCTCGCAACAAATGACTTGAAACTTCTTTCCCCTCAGAAAAGACAAATTATTAAAGGAATCGTATCTTCCTGGTTTCTTGGTCATCCAGATTTGGTGTTAGATTGAAAGGGGTTTTGGCGTGAGCCAAAAAGTTGGGGATACACAGGCCTGTTTCTGGTATTGATTCCGTGGGCAAACCACTCGAGGAGGAGGACGGTGGCTTAAAACGCTTCTACTGGCCGGTGCGACAGTGGAAACTGATGTTCCCGCTCCGTCGGAAAGCGCTGGAAGCGTGAACAAACATTCTTGGAGAGCTGCATTGCTTTTGAATCAGGGGAAAGCGGTGAAACGCCTCCTGAGCTGATGCAACAGCAACGACGTTCGGTTTTGTGTTGGGAGATGAGCTACAGCTCTAAATTCCAACCCGCTAGATGAAATTTCAGCACTCGCGTTAAAAAAGATAAATCACTTGGCAAAGCGCGAACTGGTGGCGCTGCGGAACGGATCTGGTGTTTACATGAAAGAAATTTTGTTTGAGCTTATTAGTTCTGTAAGCAAATATGCTTCCTGGCAGATCCTGGCTAGAGAGCTGGAGCTGTACGTCCCCACTGCCTTGGTGCAGAGCGGGATACTGCTTCCTCAGCGAGCCAGCTATTTCTCACCCGGAGTCAGCGTTTGGCACCTGGGCTTAGGGCAGAAGGAAATGCAGCAGCACAAGATGGAGAAAATGTTCATTCTTGGCTGTCTCCACGCACGCACACCCCTATGTGTATGTTTAGAGACACCTGTGTGCTTTATATGTGTAGTTACGTGGATAGTTCACGGACAGAATCGTATCAGGAGTTGCTGAAACAGGGCTATAAATTACTTTGGGCGGTCTAGATGGGGACAAAGGGTCTGTTATTAAAATGTCTCTTCGTTATTAGTGGCAAAATGACTCCCTGTATAATGGACTAATTAGACGTGTTGACTTCGCGCCGCGTTTCAGCGCGTTAGCGAGCGTTAAAGAGTTCGGTTCCAGGGCCCCCCAATTATCCTGCCACAACACAGAGGCTGGCTTGTCACTAAAGCTTGGGTTCTGTGCTGGAGTCCCTAATGCTTGCTTCGAGTAGGGGGTGTCCACTTAAGAACAGCCACCTCGCGGAGAGGAATGATGATGATGATGATGATGATGATGAAGCTGCGTGTTCTTTTTTTCCTTAAGGGCGTTGCCGTGCAGCTGCCACGTTTCCAGAAGTCCGTGCCCAAGCCTCTAAGGTAGCTCGTGGCTTTCTGGGCCAGCTGGAGCCCTGATGATTTGAGATGCGAGTCGGAAAATCCCGTACGGGTTGCCCGTAGTCTGTTTTTTTGGCGTAAGATCCTGCCGTTTAATAAAACATGGGCTTTGTGGAGCTGCCGCGGCCTTCGTCGTTAAGGACAGGAGCTCCATTGAGTACGTTATGAAGGAACAAAACTTTGCCTTTCTGCGTTTTATGCCAAAAGCCTTTCAGGGATTGTACTAATGAGGCTGTGGGAGCGTGAAGCCATTTCTGTAGCTGTAGCCTCACTCGCACACCCTCTAGAGAAGATTCGTCGTTGTGTAACGGAGACGCAGGCAAACCATGTGTGTGCCTTGAATTGCCAGGTTGCGCGCTGTAAAGAGTAGTGCTGTGAAGAAATAGATTTGGTAATTGCGCTCCAGAAAAAAGAAGAAAAAAAAAAAAAAGAAAAAAATGAAGTGGTGATGGTAGGAACCTGGGGGACTAGTTCCCTCAGCATTAAATGGAAAGATTTGCTGTTCCGAGATGTAATTCTCGTGCTTCGCTAACAGAGCTAAAAATCTTGGGGCTGTTACGTCTCACTGCATCCTCGCTCGAGTGGGTCCTTCATATAGCGTGAAGCCTTGTCAGAGTTGGACAGGAGGGCACATTTCAAGTGACTTCGTTCTCTGTATAAAATATCAAAACAAAAGACATGACTGGTTATTCAGAAAGAGCTAAAGAATGGATTTTTCGTTGAGTTTTGATCCTTGCGTTGCAGGCACGGACTGGGATTTTCAGGAACTTCAAAGCTATTCTGTACTGCAGAATATTTGAAACTCATTTTTTATTTAATAAGTGGTTGTTCAAACAATTTTAAAAGGGTAAGACTTTTAATACCACTGGTTTTCTAGTTCTCTGTTTCTCTGTTGGGTGGTATGAAATTCATTTTACTAACCTGCCAATAAATTCTTCCCCAGCACAGTGGGAAAGCACGTGGGTGCAACTGCAGGATGGATACCCTTCCCATAACCTGCATAAAAATCTTTCTGAATACAAATTTGACCTTCTCGTAACTGATAACTTCTACCTATAATACACTGAGTCTGCAGAACAATTACCGTCCCAGCTCATTTTCATACAAGATTCTTAATTCAAGTGTCAAATTATTTTAGACATAAAAGTCCCTAGTTTGACTGCGCATAATGAAACACATTGATGTAAAAATTAAGATCACCTGGTGCTGGATATTAAATATTTATGTAAAGGTGAATCTAGTTGACGAGCCATTTGTTTGTCCTCTAGAATATAGGTTCAGATTTAGCAATTACCATGCGGCTCTGGTAGGGCTGAAATGCGTTGACTTGGGGACACCAAGTGTTTTACTTTGGGTTTTTACCCACATAAAACTCTGACTTACTGGTATTAAAAACTTTTCAGGCAACCCATGCTTCACTTGGCAGCCTGTCTGGGCAGTCTGGAAAAGCTGACAAAATGCTTTTTCCTTGCTGTCCTCTCTTCCTAGATTTAAATCCTGGGCCCTGGGTTAAAAGGTAGAAGTTGAATTTCTTGTGCTGCTTGGGGAAGGTAATGGCTAAAACTTTTTCACCTCCTCGGCCGTCTTATTTGCTCACTAGC